CAGAATATTCTTTGTTTACCTTTAAGTAAATATTAAAGCTTATGTTTTGTGTTCATGTTAAGATATTTTTTTTTAATTCCCAAATATTTGGTTTAAATTTTACAGTCAAAATTCGCATAACGTTTGGATTCGAATACCACTGTACCAAAACCTTTTTCCATATTTTATAGATAAAAAAGATTAATATGCTTATTATGACTTCAATTTACAAAAACACTTTATTACTTATTTCATTTCTTCTACCATCAATTATGACAACGACAACAATAATAATAAGTCAATTTTATTATTATTTTTGCGCATGTAAGCCATTTTTTTCAAATCTAAAACAATAATTAAAGTGATAATTTGCTAACAAGGTTCTAACTGCTCAGATAGAACCTTGTTCTCTTTATTATTACCCTAGATAATTTGTATAAAGTTCTATGTGTAACAATTAAATTGTAATTTTAGAAGAATCATCCTAATACAGGGTCTTGGTAAATAAATACAAGAATTTATAGGTTATATATATTTTTTATTTGAAAACTGTACTTTTAGGAGGTTGTTGTACCATAATGTGTAGAAGGTTTAAACTTTCAACAGCTGTTGATCGAAATTAACCTTGTGCCACATAGAACCCTGTCGTTCTAGGGTAGCGATATTTCGAGCTTGTAAAAATAACCGTAACATGACATTTCATTCAATAAAATCCACGTTGGGCTTGAACAGAATAAAAGGATCTTATTAGTATAACGCAAGGCTAAATTAGTAACAGACCAATTTGATAGATGTCACTCATATTGAAATAACAATTGTCAGTTGTCAGTTGTCAGTTGTCAGTTGTCAGTTGTCAGTTGTCAGTTGTCAGTTGTCAGTTGTCAGTTGTCAGTTGTCAGTTGTCAGTTGTCAGTTGTCAGTTGTCAGTTGTCAGTTGTCAGTTGTCAGTTGTCAGTTGTCAGTTGTCAGTTGTCAGTTGTCAGTTGTCCGTTGTCAGTTGTCAGTTGTCAGTTGTCAGTTGTCATTTTAAAATAAACATGTGCTCCAGCTGATTTTATATTTTTTAATTTCGGTGAATTCTAGTGTCTTTTTTGAAGTTTTAGTATACAATTTTTACTTTTTAACAGCGTTTGTTTAGTAAGGTTGTAATTATAGCTTCTAAAAGATCAAAATAACATTTAAATTTGATGATATACAATAAATATAAATATTGTTTGTTATGTTGTAGGGGTGAAATGGGTAGTTAGACAAAACATTGTGTCTTTGACTTAAAAAGTCGATCTTTTTAAAAGATTGGTTTCAGGGACCAATAAAACATTGTTTTCAAATTTTGAGGGCACTTGGCTATATAGGACCTTACAGAATTTGTGATCGTTATTTTGAGGATGTTATCAAAAAATTACAGATACTATTTTGCACCATTGTTCTTTAAATACTCATCCTACTCTTAAGAAAACGTAGATCTCCAAAATACTCCAACTGGATTATGTTAAAAATACATAATTATTTAAATGGTAGTAATAATTTTTCCACTCAATTCCAAGTAACATCAAATTTTATATCACGGCATTACAATAAAAGAATTGGAAATATTTGTTCTTTTATGAGACATTGTGTAAGTTACAAGCTTTTGTTCAAGTTCAAAAGACACTGGTGTCGCTCGAGTGACAAAATCACATACTTTGATTTTCTTTTACTATACGGAGAATGGTCGCACTGCGCAGCTTTCTGAGTGCCTTTTAAAAGGAGATAGAAAACTCCGCCATTTTGATCCCTTATTACGTGTTGCCTACATCTTGGCGCAATATTTCTAATAGGTCCGTTTTAATCATCCGCTTCTACTTCGGAATTGTCGGTTTTCTTGTTTTAATCTGACAGGTTAAAACGACTAAACCGACAATTCCGGAAGCAGAAGCGGATGATTAAAACGCACCTGATGTTTTGCTGGCTGCTGTCAGTGTCAGTGAATATTATTTTTGGAGTCACAGTTTATTGCTAAAAAATCAGTTAGCTCACTCGGACCAGTGCCGACGCAGAGTGAGCGATCGGATTCTTTAGCTATAAACTGTGGCATAGGAATCAAAATGGCCGCGCCCTATGTTGGGCGTGTCGGACCTCTCTCTTGCACCGTATAGTAAATAAAATCAAAGTATATGGACGAAATACATATGCATAGGAAGTGCTTGGTAGATTTGCCGCTGACGTTGAAATTAAAATGCGCAGTGGAGAGTTAATTTGACTGAAAGTTTCGAAGTGAGCTTCGGTAAATTCAATCGGTAGGACAATAGGGGCGCTTATTTTTTAGGTACAGATTCTAAAAGTTTTCAAAAAAATAACGAAGAGTGTAAGTGATATCGAGAAAGTTAACGTTTAAGATATGTTGAGACTAGTGATTATAGTAAGTTAAGAGATGACGCTGTTAATATAAAAATGTAAACGAAATATGCAGTACCGTGCGCATGTAACGATGCACAAATTAAAAATCTTAATTCAATGTAATTAATAAAAAACTAACATCAGTGCTTTCAATTCTTTATTTTTTTTATAGGTAAAATAGGAAATATTATTAAAAGTTGTAAACAAAATTTAATACAGTTTTTGATAACATGTGAACATCGTCTCATCGGGATTATGTTGCGGATAAACTTATCTGATATATCCGATATCTTTGGACTTCAAGTAAAACTTATAAGAATCATAACATAACCTAAATTCACTTCTTATCTTCTTCTTATTCCTTTTTTATTTATTTATTTAGCCGATATCTTAAAGATTATTCTTGTCTTGCTCTCAGCAATAGACCCATAAATTAAAAAAAAACACTCATAAAACTTAAAAAGTAGTGAAAATAATTGCATGTTTAATTAAAACTGGACACAGGCTATTTAATTGACTAATAAGTCGAATTAATTTGGTTTTATTTTTGGTGATAAAGCATTACTGCATAATATTTTTATTTTTCTTCGAGAAGTAATTGTTGCTAGATTCTTGATTAAATACTACAAAGATGGCTACTCTTTTCTATAAGTATCTAAGAGGTAGTTATCCATTTTCGCATAAAGCTTTTATTGGAATAGATTTCCCCTAAGAAAAAACCTCCAGAAAAATTTGGATACTAGTATAAATTGTGTCTTAAATAGTACGCAAATAGTACGCAAAAGGTACACTAATAGTACGTTAATAGTACGCTAATAGTGTGCTAATAGTATAGTAATAGTAGGCTAATAGTATTCTATTAGTATGCTAAAAGTATGCTAATAGTATGCTAATATTATAAAAAGTACATAAAGTACGCAAATAGTACTGAAATAGTATACAAATTGTATTACAAAAATAGTACAGAAAGTAATAAAAATAAAATTAGGTTGATGTGCTAACAAAAAATGTCACAGTTATTAAAAAAAACGTTAATTATTTTTTTCCAGGTCATCCAACGCCTGCTGAGTGGGAATAATATGGAATCCTACACACATATTTCCACAAAATAGTGCACAATAGTACACATAGTAAACATAGTAAACATAGTAAACATAGTAAACATAGTAAACATAGTAAACATAGTAAACATAGTAAACATAGTAAACATAGTAAACATAGTAAACATAGTAAACATAGTAAACATAGTAAACATAGTAAACATAGTAAACATAGTAAACATAGTAAACATAGTAAACATAGTAAACATAGTAAACATAGTAAACATAGTAAACATAGTAAACATAGTAAACATAGTAAACATAGTAAACATAGTAAACATAGTAAACATAGTAAACATAGTAAACATAGTAAACATAGTAAACATAGTAAACATAGTAAACAGTAAACATAGTAAACATAGTAAACATAGTAAACATAGTAAACATAGTAAACATAGTAAACATAGTAAACATAGTAAACATAGTAAACATAGTAAACATAGTAAACATAGTAAACATAGTAAACATAGTAAACATAGTAAACATAGTAAACATAGTAAACATAGTAAACATAGTAAACAAACATAGTAAACAAACATAGTAAACAAACATAGTATACACTGTTTTTCCCAAGTCATCCACTTTTTGTAGCATTTTTTCGTACTTTTTAGAGGTACTTTTAAAACTATCTATTACACTAGCAATTATTGAATAAATGGATTCTACTAAATTTTGATAACAAAAATCCCTAGTAGGTAGCGTGAAGAAAAAATGTGGAAAAACGCTAATTCCCTTATGCTTCGGACCAGCGACTTGTGTATTCACTATTTTTTTCCAAGAACGCTTTGTTTATCCGGCCAGAAGTAATTGTTCAGAATGAAAACTGTAGCGCAAAAATTTTAATAACCGTATCCACTTGTGTATGAAATTATTTTCATTCTAACTCAATAACAGACTTAATCTCTTTTTCGAACATTTAATAATGGTTATAAAAATTGGCGAGTATCTCATCTACAGGACCGTTTTTTACAATTTTTTTTTAATATAGGAATCGGAATCGAAATTATGTGTATTTTTTCATAAATTTGGTGTTCCTTTTTGCACTTTTTTATATTAAAAGTCTTTCTAATCACAATAAAACTACGTAAATCATACAATGTCTTTGTCTTGGTCTATGATCTTCTGCAAACAAAAACTGGTAAAACATTTCTCCAAAATTATTGACCTATTTTTTTCTTGGTTTTATTACTTTTTTATAAGAATCAGGGCATTTTAAATTGTAAAACTTCAAGAAACTCTTCCTCTGACCCTAAATTACATTATGTATGCACAAATTTTATTGTTTAAGTTTATAAAACTTATTATTTTCATCAAAAAGGGATCAAAATATTTCAATTTTACTACATTATTATCCTTGACTTTTTCAAATCATCATGAATCCCATAAACCTGTTAATGTACCCTTTTAACAGGCTATATATTTATTAATAATTGAAAATTGAATTCATTAACCCTTATCAAGCATCAAATAGTCATCAATAAATAAAAAAAACAGACATGGGGGTAGGTCAATAAAATGAAAATGGGTTAATTTCGATTATTACTGTTTTTAATTTAATTAAATCACAATTATCATTATTGGTATCGATTATTTACAACAGATATATCTACGCGATAAATTATACATTATATATTATTTTAAATTGTTTGAATTGATTTCTAATCCATCATAAATAACCTTATTTAACATCCGTTTTCAAAACAATCCAAAACATACTCGAAAACTAAAGCAAGATTTACATTTTTATTATTTACAGTTTAGTATTATTAAAATGGCGGTGACTTTTTTGATTTTAACTTTGATATTGCTTTTCTGACACTTGTTTGACAGACGATACATCTGATAGAGGTTTTGTTTTTGGTTGCGGAATCGGCTTTTTCTTAGTGTAAACTGAAACACAAGAAATATAATTTATTAAAAAAAAAACCTGGAAGTATCTACTGTCATTACAGAAGAGGGTAAAATATGGTACCTCCAACAAATAAATAACCCACTCTGAATCTAGTTTACTGTGTCTACCATCAATACTTTACCCACTTTGTATGGTTATTATTTCACCTTGTTTTAGAGAACTAGGTACCACAGCGAGCTTTGATTTTGCTTCCTTCATACAGATGGCGTTACAATTTTTACCCGTTGACTACCTACACTCTCTCAACCAACATAAATGTATTCGAGTGAATGTAACACATCTAACATATTCCTTTGGAGACTGAAGTCGATTTGGTCTATTCCTTGTTGATGAGTTCATTCCAAGAATGACGTTCTTCTTGGGAAACAAAATCGAAGCTATTTTCCTTTTGATATAATATAATGCATATTACGGTATTAGCCAAAGGAGTATTTATTTTCAAGAGTGAAACAATAGCTTTGAGTTTTCTCTTTTTTCTTTGTTTTATACTATTTTATTTCAATTCCTAATTAACCAATATATGTTATAAATTTTATATTGATTGGAGCCTTTGTTTCGTCACTATTTATAAAACTAATAAATTTAGAAACTTCAAAGTTTCAGAAAATATTAATAAAAAGTGTAGAAACTATATTATGCAAACAAAATTTTCAAATTTTACCAGCTGTTAAAGTTAGAGAGTATCAAAGTTGAATTCTTATTTGTTATAAATTTGATATTGAAGCCTTTGTTTCGTCACTATTTATATTATACACATACCTACTACCCTCTTGAATTTACGAAAGTCTTAATACTAGCAACAATTATAGGATATAGGAATAGATTGAGAGTTGGATTGGAAGATCACGATTTTACCTGTTTCGAGTTCAATGGGTCCTTCAGGTCTCTTCAGTTTTTCGTCTTTTGCAGATAGAACGTTAATACCAAAACTAACTTTGTATACCGGAAGAGGAATTACTGTTGAAGATACTGGTATCAAATCTGGAATAAAATAAGTTTTAGCGTTAATCAAAAATAAACACTTTGTTTCTTGCAACCATTAAAGTGTTGAAATTTGAGTTAATTATTTTAGTTTCTCTAAATTGCTATATAACAGTCATACTTTTTAAATAGTACATAGGAAACTTCATTATTTACTACTTATGCACGCGAATAAATTAATAATAATAGCATTTTAAGAGGGCTTTTACTATGATTCTTTCCTATGCTCATAAATAACGCTAACATACTAATTTATGCAAAATTGGATCCATGTGGAACACCCGATTTAGCTAAAAACTTGACATATTGCCGTTATGAGTTACAATAAATGATCTATTTTCCAAATCATTTTTTTGATAGATAATCCAGGTATTCAATTTTTGAAGTGATATATCATGCTTAATTTTATCAAAACATTTTTGAAAATCCGTAAAAATAATATACTACTTTGTAGACAATATGTTCATAATTATTCCAATGTTGATTAGTTTGATATAGACGCAAGTATTTAGGGTCTCCCAAAAACGATCTTTTTATAGTGGTAAAAGTGGTGTAAACATTTGATTACTTCAACTGTGAGTAAATGATTTAGTTGGCTACCATAATACCTAAAAAACCTGACCAAATTCGGTCTAATTATTGTGATAAGGTGGTTTAAATTTCAAAATTGGCATTCGAACTTTGTTAATATATATCCGAAAAAAGCAAAAACTACGTCAACTTACATTTAGTCTACTGATTACTGTTATAGTCCAGGTAATAATGGCTAATAAATGTATCATTTGTCAAGATACTATCAAGGATGATAAGTGTGTATCTTGTGACAGTTGTTATTCTATAATGCGTGTTACTGATATTTGTACTGATCTGGGTGCATCAGAATTAAGAGCTGCGAACCTCCAGAAAAATACTTTAATATATCTTTGTCTTGACTGTTGCCATGCATTTAAAAATATGCCTGCACTATTAAAGCAGATAGACAAATTAAAAACCGAAGTGATTTCTCTCTGAAATATGAAATAGATCAGCTGAAACGCGATAAAGACAATGAAATGAAAGAACTGAAAAACGAATTTAAACTTATTTAAAAACAAATTGTAAATAGTTTTCAAAATAATTATGAATACTAATTAACAGAACTTTATAAACGTCAAAAGCGCTCAAATAATATTTTTAATCCAACAGAATCAGTTGACGACATGAATGAGATCAATACCCTTTCCAAAAAAATCTCTTTCAAGCCTATACCATCCAGAAAACAATAAGAGTCTGGAAAAAGGATAAATTCGGCAGCATAAGCCTTAAAATAATTTTACCAAGTAATTATAAAGGAGACTAGAGTATATATAAGTCCGGACCTAACCCCAAAATAACAAGAACATGAAGAAGAAGAGGGTTTCACAGGGGAACAAAATATTATTATTAAATATATATAGCAAGAAAAATTATAAGTAAATAAACTGCAGTAATTTCCATTCCATCTATTCTTATTATTTATTCACCTACATTAAAATTTAATAATCTCCAAATTCGCCGAATCCATTTTACAGGAACTTGTTTAGACAATACGATATGGCGGAGTTTATTTACTGAGCGGGGATTGAGGGGTGTCGTAATTTTATAAAAGTCTATAAAGTTTCTATTAATTAGGACTGCGTAAACACGGTTTTAATGAAAAGCAAACTTGGTATGTACCCTGTAAATCTGTTTTTACTCCGTATTGCAAACCTACGCGAGCAAATGTACTCTTTGCCATGCCCAAATTTGACCTCTAGCAAATAATATAACCACGCCAAGGCTGTTTTTAAAATAAAACAGTTTATTATAATTTTGTGAATAATTAATACGAAGTGGTTCGAATTATATTAATTTCGTTGTCGTCTTTGGCTTTAGATATTTCTAGAACGAATTTATGTCTAAGTGTACGAGGGCGGACCGAAAAGTAATCGGCTGTGGGGAGTAACCAAAATAAACATCAAAGAGGTATTGATGATTAAACAATAAATTAATTACAAAATAAAGAAAAAATATCGAAACTGATACAAAACGTGACTTTGCCGATATAGTCCAGTCAATGAAAACATCCTATTTTGAACATTTCACATTAATTACAAAAGTTTTCAAGTTTTCAAACTTATAAGATGCTTTTAGCTTTTTCATTATTATTTACAGAAATATCTTTACAATTTCTATAATTTTTACAACGATAAAAGTCTGATTAGCAACCGGATGCAATCACAGTACCTAGTTTTTTTTTTTTTTTTTTTTTTTTTTTTGGCTTGGGCACTTGCCATTCAGCCAGTCGCGGAATAAATTATATAAGTTTAAATTGCATTATCACTCTAAATACATCCATTCAATCATACACACTTACACACTTTTGTCCTAAGCAAGAAAAGAAGAAAAATATATAACAGAAGATAAGGCAAGCAAGGAATAAACAAAGGAAAACATTTCTTCTTGTCTAGGGGCCCGTCAAGACATTTTTTTTACACACAAAACTAGGCCACGGAAAGGTAGGTATATAACAATTGGGTTAGAACATAGGTTGCAAGACTAATATTAATTACAAACATACTTTACTTTCATACACAAATTTTATCAAGAGGTCGTAAATTTTTGTTTGATTAAGTGAGAGGAGATGGCAAATGTTAAATGGAGGAAATACATTATTTTTAATTAGATCTTGTGTCAGATCTTGAGATTGTTGGGTATAGTTTGCACAACTAAAGAAAATATGATTTAGATCGCCTTTCTCTTGACACATAGTACATATCTCCGAATCTATAACATGGATTTTGAATAAATGTGCTGGATAACATGCATGTCCAAATTTCAATCTAATGATAGTTGTTATATACTTTCGAGGAAGTGAATAGTTTTTAAACCAATGCACATTCGGAATTTTTGGTTGTATTTTTGAATATTGAGTTGTAGTGGTTTTGCAAAAATCTTTCCAAGATTTTCTCCAATTTTTCATTTGACGTTGTTTCTCAATTGCAAAAGCATCCAAATTGCACAGCTGATAACCTGTCGGTAATCCATTGGTAGTTGCGCTTTTAGCCAAAACATCTACATATTCATTATGTTTGAGCCCTATATGTGCTTTAACCCATATTAATTGAACCATTTTCGATGTATTATGGATTTCGAATAGTATCTTTTTAATGAGCAAAATATAAGCATTTGATAAATTGGAAGGAAACTTTGGGTTTTGAATAGCAAGTAATACAGATAGGGAATCAGATAAAATAACTGCAGTACCTAGTTAATTTGATAAATAACAACCATTTTTTTATATGTTTGCTGAAGCAATTATCATAGAAAAACGAATGAATGTTTAAAAATTATTGACAAGTTACCCCATTAATAAATGTTTTCTTATTTTTCACATTAATTTGTATTTAAAATTACGAAATATAAATTTTTCAAATGTCCTTCATCATATTAATTGTGTGACAGTATTACTAATTGGGTTTACATATTTATGTTAGCCGTGTGCCTCTGCTCCGCACCACACATTCTTGAAAACCATACACATGCGCAGTGTAATTCATAGGAATTTTCGAATTATACAACTTTCAATGTATACTTTTACGTTTGATTGTACAACCACTAATTAATCTTCTTTTTTACTGATAGCCCACGGCCTACCACTTTCCAAAGCATAAAATTCTTCTTCTTTTTTTAAAGGATAAAAGTCCAACCAGTTTTAAAATGATTTTGATTGGTCGCGAATGGCGCCAAATTTAAATTTAAGTTTTTTTATTAACTTTACAATATACCATATTAACGAATTTTAGACTTTTTAAGCAGGACAAAGCCTTTTATATACCAGATTTTACATAAATATTCAGCAACTTCGAATTGTACAACATTACCGCCCTTTTTCACAAGTGCGTACAACAGTACAACTACATGACTGATTATTCTACATTTTGAACAATTGTACAACCAGGAACAACACTGCACATGCGTGTCAGGATGGACGAGCGGGATAATTTGTGTACGTTAATATAACATAACAAGAATATAACAACTATACAAGGTATTTTCTTAGTTTAACCTCGAAAATACCTGTTAGAATCGATGCTCACGAACGTTTTTTGCAGTCGCGTTAACGTCACGTTGACGCAAACGCAATTTTTAATTCACACGCTGCGCTTCTTGTCTTCTGTCCCGAAACAAGTTAGAGTAAATTCGTCTTAAGAACAGAAAAGATGGATTTAAGTTCGAAAAAAAAATGATATTTGTACCTGCAATATCCCTAATTACCTTAAGAACTTGTGACGAAGTCACTAAATTTTATTTTTAATTCATCTTGAAAATGTATATTTCAATTAATTCCCGCCTGAGAAAATGTAGAAGTTCCCCCGTATTTCTGTTTCCCAGGAATTACCGTTTTTCAACAATTGCGAGTACCCTCGTCGATTAAAATATTTTTATATTTGCCGAAATCCGAATGGGCATTTTTAGAGTCGATTTCATATGGATTATCTACCTTTTATTTGTCAAGGACTATAAGGGCATTTTTTTATTTTTAAATTGTAAACAGTCGGTTGTAGTAGTGGTATCCCCACTTTGTCGTACTGGTCTTCCATCTTGCTTTATCGAAAAAGCATAAATTAAATCCCATCTGGGAATTACGCCCTCTTTTCGCTTGCCAGCCGCCGTAAGCTCTTCTCTCGTGATTGCCGACAGCCGAAAACTATTCACCCTTAGTTAGTACCTAGTGCCGTGAGTACCGTGATTTAGTTCATCGATTAACCCCGTTTATCTGCTAAGGTAGGAACCGTATATTATTATTATTTTTTTTTATTGGCTTTTATATAATTAGTTGGGACACCCGTGTGACAAGTAAATAATTTTGATTCACATCCAGGATATATTATTTCATCCCTCAGTGGGAAACCGTTGGCAATTTTTTTATTTGAGGTTGGACCTAGACTAGACACCGAGAGCTCTCTTTGTCAGCGACTATATCTAATTTCTTTTAAAAACCGCCCAGTTAATATCGAAGTGAGAGATTCGACCTGTTTTCGATTTTTTATTATTTTATTGTTTTATTTTTTTTCTTTTTCGGAGGTGCGATCCGTTTCTCGGGCTAGAGTGATCTCTCTCCTGATGACGTATCTAATTTCCCCAAAAGACGTTTTAAGTAATTTCCGCGCCTCACTTCGTATAAAATTTCTTTTCTTTTATTTATTCATTCAATTGTATTTGAATCATTCCGTTCTCCGTCCACAACTAATTATTGAACGAAGCCGACGACTTCTGTAAAATTAAATTCACACACACTCTCTCGATAGACGCTATGCAAAATTCATAAATATTATTTTCTACGATCGTTGTGGTCGCCGTTCAAAAGACCGCGTGAATGATCATATTTATCAATAGGCGAAAATGTTTCGTTTCCCATCGATTGGTTATTAAGATACAAGGGGGCTCCGACAATTTTGATTTCATTTATTTGCTTACATTTGATTACCGTCATATTTAAATTGTTTTCAAGTGTATTAATTTATTTTCATACATTTTCCGTATACTGGGCGTTTCACACTTCCCAGTCCGATTAGCCTCTTGAGCTAATAACACACGTTTTCATAGTGCAATAAGTCATTAAATAATTAAAATAATATACAGAGTGTCCCTAAATTAAACGGTCATATTTTAACGGCGTAATCTACATCCTAAAATAGAAGTAAAAGTTCATATAAACATAGGTCTGAAAACGTTTCGTTTTAGAGAAACGGAGTGTTACAAGTGAAGACTTTATAAAATTTCTTTTGTCCACGACCACTTAATAATAAATCAATATTCTACCTCCTAACTAAGAGCATATAGTACCCATATATCACGGAGTGAATTATGATAATTCACGCTTTTGTAATTCTGGCACATTCCGATAGATAACTAAAGATAGGCGATACTTTTCATAACGATATTTTCTAGATCGAAAAATCGAAAAATCGAAAAATCGAAAAATCGAAAAATCGAAAAATCGAAAAATCGAAAAATCGAAAAATCGAAAAATCGAAAAATCGAAAAATCGAAAAATCGAAAAATCGAAAAATCGAAAAATCGAAAAATCGAAAAATCGAAAAATCGAAAAATCGAAAAATCGAAAAATCGAAAAATCGAAAAATCGAAAAATCGAAAAATCGAAAAATCGAAAAATCGAAAAATCGAAAAATCGAAAAATCGAAAAATCAAAAAATCGAAAAATCTAAAAATCGAAAAATCAAAAAATCAAAAAATCGAAAAATCGAAAAATCGAAAAATCGAAAAAAAAATTGAAAAATCGAAAAAAAAATCGAAAAATCGAAAAAAATCGAAAAAAAAAATCGAAAAATCGAAAAAAAAAATTGAAAAATCGAAAAAAAAATCTAAAAATCAAAAAAAAAAACGAAAAATCGAAAAATAAAAAAAAAATCGAAAAATCGAAAAAAAATCGAAAAAATCGAAAAAAAATCGAAAAAAAAATCGAAAAATCGAAAAAAAAATCGAAAAATCAAAAAAAATCGAAAAATCAAAAAAAAATCGATAAAAACGAAAAATCGAAAGGTCGAAAAAACAACAGTTACCTATGTTTAATAATAACTTTCCATTCACACTTAACTTTTATTTAATAAAGAGACCATAATGGTCGTGGACAAAGTATAGTATAAGACTCGCAATTTATGGCCATTATTCACTCGAGCGTAAAAAGTTTAACATTTGTACCAAATTTCACTTAGTTATCTTTAAAAGTTTAGAAAATATTTTTAAAAATGTGTCATCACGACTTCACTTTTAACACCCTGTATCTCAAAAACAAAACGTTTTCGGACCTATGTTTATATGTACTTTTACTCCTATTTTGGGATGTAGATTACGCTTTTAAAACATGACCGTCTAATTTCGGGACACCCTATATATTTCTAATCAGGAAATGCAATTCTACGTAAAATAACAAAAATATATAAGGTGTCCCATTAAAAAATGAAATTATATTTTGTTGAAGGTGTCCTGTATATACGTAGGTTACAGACGGCTACAATTTAAAATTTATTAGATGTATACAGGATGTCCCACATAAGAAAAAAAAATTAGTTCATTAAAAATTATTCAAACAAGAGTAAACAATTAATTTCTGGGAGACTTTTTTTCCTTAAAAATTCAAATAAATCGAAAACTAATAATAATAGTAATAGGGAACCTTTAGTTTTATTTGTTTGGCCGAATCAGGTTTAGGGGATTTTTCTGAAAATTCACCTCAAATTAATTCTACAAAGTAGTCGACAAGACAAAAAGATGGGAGGTGTAGTTATTTTAGTTGAAGATGGCATAAATAATATGATCTCAAAAGTGTAGTAAGATTGTAAAATTTAAGGTATTGCCTGTAAATTAATTTGAGCCGTACAAATCGCCACCAGGAAATATCGATGGTTTTCTTAAAAATATTTAACATGTTTTAGGTAAAGTTTTTAAATCTGATGCTAATATTTTTTTGTGTGGAGATTTTAATACAGATTTGTACAATAGAGAACCTAACGAATTTTTAAAAATATTGACTGTTTTAACTTAAACAATGTTAGGTTACGCTACGTCGATAGAAGATATTTTATTCTTTAAAAGTAACTTTAATTGCAAGAAAATACAAATTCTTAGTTACATACCGGTATAATAACATCAACCTTGACATACCTGGTTCTAAGACTTTATTATCGTTCATCCTGTACATAGTGGGGTGATTTTCTACTAGAACTACACAAAAACTCAAAGCCAAAATTATCCTCAACATTTTTTACTCTAAAAAATGGAAACGATGAAAACAATGTTTATAAATTAAATGCTAGAATTATACTAAAAAATGTTAAAAACGAAATAACG